CGAGATAGACTAGGATTTGTTCTGGCTTGTCTTGTACTCCAAGTAGATGATTGTACTCCTGTATATATGCCCATGAGGCTCAAGCAATACAACGAATTATTCCACCAAACCCCTCTCTCCCTTCTAATAGGTAGCTTGGTGCCAGGAGCAACCGCAGGCAAAAGCTTTGCCAGCCCAAGTGGTAGGGTAGGCAGCATGTGGTCCCCGCAACGAAGGCGACCAGGACAGGTGTTGGTATTGTGGTAAGAAGCAGTGTAACGAGGCGGTCGTGAAAAATTTTGTCCAGGTGGAGGAGGATGAGGGACCCAGCCTAATGATGGCATGAGTCGAGTCCGTCCAAGAAGGCTTGGCGTCTTGCAATACTGGCGTCGTGGTCGCGACCCCGAGCGGTCGCGGGCCCAAGCTCGGTCCGGCCCCAAGCTTGGTCCGACCATCGGACCTCACGGGTGGCCACATCTTCCTCAACGAGGATAAGGTGGTGATCACTGTTTTGCATGTTCATCCACTGCCAGTGATACAAGAATTCGAACTAATCGAAATAAATTCATTCATACACGGTCGGATTTCATATAAACATGATGGATTTCATTGCATTTCATACATTCTTCAACTAAAAAGGGGTGCACTAGAGGTATAATTAATTAACCGAAGCTACCCACCTGTGTCCGGCTGAGCCGAACAGAAACTTCAGTGACTTAACTGCAGGTGCAGTTGCGTAACTGACATGTGGCCCAGATGCCTGTTGGGCCCACGTGTCAGTCAACCAACTGCACCAGCAGTTAAGTAGAAGCAGCATCCTTCTCCAACATAGCTCTCCGACTCCACGTCGCCGCCAAGAAGCTAACCGGCCGTCAGTGGTCAACCCGCCTAGCTTGTCATAGCGATTAGGGAAACTAGGAGCACAATGATCAGGATCCCCACATGACAAACACCTTTCTTCTTGTCATTCTTCTTCTTGAAGTTCGTGTGTTGCACAGCCTTGTTCTTCCCATCAAACTTTGCTTTACCATCAAACTTGCCCTTGTTCTTGAACTTGTGGGGCTGGAAGTTCTTCTTCTGTACCAGATTGGCACTAGATCCTCCCTCAATTCCTCGAGCACGTGTGTCCTTTGCTCTCGCCTTTTCTTCCACATCAAGAGTGCCAATGAGATCCACGAAGGAGGAAGCTTAGTGATGATACCTCCGGCAACAAACTTGTCCGGTAGCATACAACTGAAGTGCTCAAGTTCTCTAGCAAATGACTGTATCTCATGAGCTTGCTCAACCACGGAGCACTCTTTAATCATCCTGTAATCATAGAATTGCTCCATGATGTACAGCTCAGTGCCAGCAACCGGAGGGTAGAAGTGGTGGCCTTACTTGACCCGAGCGGCGGCGACCTTTCGTGTTCTACTCTTCCTCGTTTTCTGTGTGGTACGGCCTCGTTGGCAGCGGG